CCGTAATGCCAAAAATTCTTCCAATGATTAGGTAAAATTTGGGGCAAAAAATCCCACTATTCTGTAGATATGTATATTCTGATATTAAAATACTGATATAAATATGTTATTGTTAAATATGATCCTTACGATATTCGATATGATTAATCTGGGTATATTGATGATTATTAATAGGAAAGAATCCAACATTATAAGAAAATACTCTGTAATTATTGAAATAGCGTCGAAACCAAATATGTTAAATATAAATATATATCCCGCTTGAAATTTCTATCTCATTATACTCATCATTATCATGATATAGTTTAGTCATCATTATCTTTTATATTCGTGACATTTTATGACTTTTTCACGCTTTATCATATAATATAGGTCATGTTACCATAGTGCATGGTAATCTCTCCTATAAACTATGGTAAACTTTACCAAACGACTATGGGGTCCTTTACCATAATTAATAGTACACTCTACCCTGTAACATGGTAGAGGGTACTATGCAATATAGTAATTTCTCCTATGTTCATAGGCTACATTCCCATCGACAGACTTACCAAGGCCCATAGTATGTAATATCATACCCCATAGGAATCATTACCATAGCATAGTAATGCTTCCTAAATTTTAGAAATACATACAAGTCGTAAATTTGACATGGGACTCTTTCCCATGGCTCTTCTTTCCGTGTATTAAGAACTGTGTTTTAATAATGTTGTCTTGAATTGAGAAACTTGTCCATTTGTAATTATCAAGTTTGTAATATTTTGGGAATATTAAAGGGAAATGTGAAGTCAAATCAAAGAACGTATTTGAGACAATGATTATCTAGTCTGTCAGTTTCGGAAATGATTGATCTGCATGCAAATGCATTCATTTTTGAATAAATTGATTTGATAGTTCTTGACCGTCGAATCCCTATTCCTACGCAGAGAAAGAAGTTGAAAAAAAATACTAAAATACAATTTCGCTCCACGATTACCTCCCGTACACCAAAATTTGCCTTGATTTTCTAGATATTTTTTCTAGATATATAAAAACAAACATTCTTGTTTCAAAAAATCACTCTCTTGTCGCGAGAAAATGGTTCTCTTTAGTGAAGGTGACAATATGTGATCCGACAAATCCTTTCAGAATTGTCAAAGATCAAAAGAGCATTTGATGTCGCGAGAGGTAAGAGTGTGAAAAGATTTCCTTCACTTTGTTTCTTTTTCCTCCATTCTGGGAGAATCCGATGCAGCTGCACTCCTCATTATTAATTTCCACGCAATAGTTTCCAACAAACTCGAGTGAATCGACTATGTGAGAATAGACTTGTTTGGAGAGGATGGCAACGTTCAACTAAGGGGCGGTAGCTTTTCCCACGGGAGCCTGGCAAGCACCGTCAGAGTTCCGGACGAGTCCTTTTGGGATATCCCATCCGGAGTCATCGGAAACTAGAGAGGAGTTTGGGTCGTTAATTCGATTGATTTTACTCCACCTACCCTTTTCACTCCCATCGAAAAGTTAATTGACCAATTTCAAATGGACTGCACTTCAATCATTCATCGTTGTCTCTGATGGATTTAGACCACTGATTCAAGGAATTGTTTCATTTATACCCCACACCGACTAGTGAAAAATTGGAGAGCATTCTTCTGAAATATCTCCCTTACCTTCGGAATCAGATGTGTCTGAGAGTGGTGGTTCATTGGCAACGTGTTGTCGCCCGCTGTGTAAGTTGTGCTCAATGACGGGTCGTTTGTCTTCCAGCTGTCTCCGGAAGCCTCGGTAATCATCCTGAAAAATACGTATGGTATTCCATCAGCAAATGACAAATTTATATAACAGAAATTTCACTCTTTAAAATTGGATTAAAGAGAATGACAGCTACATTGAGATGAAAAACGATCTAATATCACAAAGATAATTTCTGGCGCTGAGAATTCACAATGGGTTTTAGGCAAGAAATCATTATTCGGGATAAAGTAGGATGTTAGATGGAAAATTAATATTTTTGCGAATTGAGATAGTGTTATTGAAAGGGCAAGGAAAGTCTGAAATGAGGGGATGAGGTTCTTCCTCTCTTCTGAACTCAGCGCCATTGAGAGCAAACGTCGGTCATATTTCAGAAATATCTGGAGGTTTTTCTCTGCACGAAGTCGGCCATCTTTCAATACGAAGATGCCTGATTCATGATCCACTAGGTCGAAGCTGCCGGTATTTTTATTCATTTTCTCATCTCCTAACACCAATAGAACGATTTCTTGAACCAAGAAATTCTCGCTTCATCGTAAAGTGTTCATGTTCAAGGCATAAATACACAGAATACAACTTGCATTAATTGACTTCTAATGGATGGAACATGATCATACCGATATGTAATTGAATCGATCAATTTTGAACGTAATTATGCGCTTTCAAATTTTTCTTCCAAGTTTCAGCAGAAATTTTTCAACACTGCCTGAAAAACTCTCTCAATCTGCAATTGCTATTGATAGAATTCCCCTTTTACAAGCCATAAAACATCACTGACAGTATTATCGCCACGAACGTGAGTTAGATCTTCCAACCTATTTTATTTGTTTCCATATTACGAGAAAGCGACAACCCCAGTTTCACCCGTCTCTCGTACTCCTTTTTTCATCAAAATTCCATGAGAATTATCAATTAATTACTAACTTTTAACTGAATTGTTGTATATATGTGCAAATTTGTTTTGTGTAAATATTATGGAACATGATTTGGGCCTATAATTGATCTAGGCTGTTGAGTCTTTAATAAATCAATAACAAAAATGACAAAATTAGCCCTTTCAACAGTAATTTCCCAACACTGAATGAAAAGTCCTTTCAATCCATAATTGCTATTAATAAAAGACCTCCCTTTACAAACCATAAAACATCAATAACAGTGCTATTTCCGCGAACGTGCGTTACGGGTCTTTCAACCCATTTTATTTGTTTCCATATTACGAGAAACAATAACCCCAGCTTGTGCCCCCCAGTCCCTCATATTCCCTTTTTATTTCTGATTGTCCCAGTACATAAGCGTCTTTTATATCCGTCTACATGCCACATATACCTCCCGGCACTCTTTAAACGCCGCCTAGTTTTTCAAGGGGATCTTCACCCAGCCCTCCTCCTTCGAGGCCACACCGTCAATGATGAGATAGCACTGAAAGACACCGAGGGGTCGTGCCAGAGTAATTTTTTTCTCAGAACATCAAGTATCACACAAGAGATGATTGATTTAGCGAAAGCTTAAAGGTCAACAACGCCCTCGAGTGATCGAACACATTTTTCAAAACAATAGAGCCTCCGATGCCCTTCAACATCCAGCCTTGCATCCCTCGGTCTCTCGTAATAAGGAACTTGCATTTTTTTAAAATATTTTTCTTCCTCAAATATATGCCCCCAAGAACTCATATTTGATAAGGAAACACGCGGAAAATAGTTTAATAATTATCTATTTGCTTTTAAAAATTGCATTTTTTAAACGTCCTAAAAAGGCCTGTGACGTCAATTCACCGGAGACCGAAATTTTCGTGTAGCGCCGTCAAGCGGTTCAGTACAGCTGCTGAAATCTAGGAAAATACTCTGTACATGTATTTGGCTCCAAAATGTCAGAAAAACCGGATCGAGTGATGAAAGTTCCTTATAAATATTGTTTTGTACCAGGATGTAAAAATACAACAGTGAAAATTATGCAACTACGACTTTCGACACTTTGACACAGATTTAAACCCATAAAATCTATCAACATAGTCACGTCTACCGTTGGTAAATTCCCCAAGTACGCCTTTCAAAAATCATTTTTCAGCCCAAACTTCATTTGTTAGTGCCAATATATTTTTCTTATCCACTTTTAATAATTGTTTCAAACATAACCTCCTCGATCTATTTTGGTTGAACGTCTCGCACTTTGAGAGGCTAGAATAACTCAATAGCGCTGCTAGTAGTCGCAAGGGGAACTTGATTCCGGTGAGTTGACGTCATGACCCGAAAAAAGGGTTCAAAATTGATGCATTTTTAATCAGTTTTTACAAAATATCTAGACCACCTTTCGGAAAACTTTTTACTATAGAATGGTTCATAGACTACAAAGACTCTATTCATTTAAAAATATTCGAAAAGTGGACTCTATGCAAGTTCCCTATTTCTAGAATCAAAGTGACATTGTCTTTTAAATAAAATTATAACGTGAAATAACTTGCCTGTTGTTTCTGGAGTGTTGCAATATCACCGCAGACAGGTCCCAGTCCGGTGAGCTCAGTGTCCTTCCTTATGACCCACTCTATGAGCTCACGCAGAGACAGCAGTAGGGCATTCCAATGTTCCGCATTACTCTCGAGTCTGTTCCTGAGGGAACGAGTGAAAACAGAGTCAGTAATTGGGAGAGGATAATCGATATTTGTATGACAAACTTCGCGGTATCCGTTATGTACCACCTTTATTAGCGCAGCGATCATGCCATAACTGTGTTTATTGTACGGTTAATGTTCAATCGGGTTATTTACTGTTTATGTTTCATTAACCGGTGGGTAATGACGTCAACAGATCCCGTCGATATTTAATGAGCGAAATATCAACGGGCGAGCAGAAACTTTGGAAGTTGTATTGGTATTGGGAGGTGCTTTAATTTTTTTAATACATTCGAGGAGAAAGACTTTCTAGTTTCGCATAAATATCTCGGAATTGGAGAACTTTAGGGTAGGAAGATCTGGGGAATGAAAATCCTGGGAATAAATGCTATTTTTAATTATTTTAGGGAAATTTTCTGTAAAGATGAGAGGGAAATGGTCATTTTTAGGTATTTTTTAATGTGTGTTGGTCATTTTTAGGTATTTTTTAATACCTAAAAATGACCATTTACGGCATTAAATCGATTTCTGTTAAAATTGTGAATTTGAATTAATTTGTGACAATTCCAAACAAATGATTTTCATGGTGAAAAATGGATTGTTTATAAATTATTTATAGAAAATGCAGGTAATTTTCAAAAATTGCAATTTTGTAATTATTTCATCAATTTTCCTCCCTGTGTAACCTATAGATTTCGGTACGCTTAAATAAATTTTAAAAAAATGTTTTCCGCCAAAAGTAAATGTTCTATTTTTTTTCAAATTTTTAAAATGTTTTCTAACGGTTCAATTTCGATTGAGGTTCAAAATCAGACGTATAAAGTTAAATAATAAAATCATTGTAAAATGTCCGGAAACTTAAGGTCAAATGGTGCTCAAATGAAAGCTCTGATGTGCGACTATAAAAATAGAAAACCATTTCACTGATGAAGAAAAAATAGCCAAAGTAATTGGATATCTTTAAGAACCGAATGGTTCTTCAGAGAAGACCATTCGAACACAGTTTCTTATTCTTAGTAGAATGCCTTTTAGAACCTTGAGTTTATGCGTAATTTATGCAATAAACGTCGTATTTTATGCTTAAAATGAGTTTTTTTTTCTGCGTCGTTAATTACGGATTTATCTTATAAGTAAACGTATAAGGAAATCTGAATAGTAAATTTATAAGTAAACGTAAAATGTGGAAAAAATCGTCGTAGTTTACGAATACGAAATCGTAATTTATGCTTCAACTTCAAGCGTAAAATTCGCTTCAGAAAGCGTGAAGACGACCTCTTAAACGTAATTTTTTAGCCTTATAGAACCTTGAGTTTATACGTAATTTATGAAAAACACATTATCGTATTTTATGCTTAAAATAAAAATTTTTTCATCGTTAATTACGGATTTAGGTGACAAGTAAACGCATAAGTAAATACGTATAGTAAACTTATAAGTAAACGTAAAATACGGAAAAAATGATCGTAGTTTACGAATACGAATTCGTAATTTACGTTTCAACTTCAAGCGTAAAATACTCTGTTAAAAATTTTAGTCTGAATTTTTCATGCCAAACGCCGAACATTTTTATCGCGGTTAATTTCAGGTAATCGTGTCATTGAAAACCCAAAGAATCCATTGATTTTCTGTTCGAATGATCTGAAAAACAATAAAATACTTGTTTTTGCAGTTCAATTATTCTGTGTAAATTCAGAAAAATCAGGAAAATTCTGGAAAAAATTGAAAAATCATGTCATTTTGTTTCTGAATATTCATGTTCCATTGAAAATTCAATCAAATTGTTAAATTTCCAGCTCATTCTCACTGAAAACTCATGAACATCCTTGCATTCCACCCAAAACTTGAAATTTCATAACCATTTTTCCCCTAAATAAGATTTAATGTTACTCTCACGAGAACTGCCATCATATTTTCCCTGAAATATCTAAAAATTTCCAACAGTGTACGCTTCAGAAAGCGTAAATACGACTTCTTAAACCTATTTTTTTAGGATATTTTGTGTCTAAATTGTTCATATGACAAACACCAAAACTGCCATTTTTACATCCCAAATACATCCACTAGCAACTTGTATTTCTGTATCCCCACTGCACGCAAGGCACCATTGACAGATGCGCGGTATTCACAAACTGACAGTAAAATACATAAATGTGGATTTTGTAGGAGGCTGAGGATATAACGTTTGGGATTTAGATTAATATTGCACCATTGTCGGGGCTGTTGCAGTTGAGTGATATAGATGGTCGGTGGGTAAAAGTGGCTGGATTCTCCTACTATCGCCGAGTAGCAGCCTCGACCTCGGGATATATTGCAGTTATTGTAACATCGATGAAAGTCTTGAGGAATCTAGCAACTTGTATTTCTGTATCTGCTTCTGCACCTGGGATGATATATAACCCCCTCCCCCCTTCCTCTCGCTGGTTCAAAATAAAGAAAACTATCACAATAGATGTTGCCCGGAGGCACTTGTGTTGCCAAGAAAAAGCATTTGATGATGATTGTGAAAGCATGGATTCACAATAACTCAAAATCTCCGATAATCAATTGGCCAATGGATACCATCAATAACCTTTATCAATGATGTTATCAACTGACGATAATTGAGATGGATTGAAGTGGACGTAACTCCTAGCGGCTTATAAATACCTGAGGATCATCGGGGAGAACATCTGGCGCAAAGACAGCAGTAATTCTTGAACATATATACATTAGAATATACGCATGAGCCCTAGAAATTGCGAGGGGCAAGGGAATTCTCTGGGGCTAGCGGATTGCGGTATACACGCTTGCGCCAAGATTTCCCTTTAACACAAACTACCGCTGCCGGATCTTCCGGATTAAGTCTAAGCTACGCCTTATCATACTTAAAGCCGGTATTACTCTATGTACAGGTACATTATACATATCGGATCGGCGTTTGGGTTAACAAGATACTGCTGTCAATAAATTTTACGATCATCGGTGCGATTGGAAAACAGTTTACAATGGTTGAAAAAAATTTAGACAGAAAACTGTTGCAAAGAACTTGTCCTTCTTCCCTTTGCATTGCTAGATGGAGAATTCTGTATCTGCTATTAATCAATTTGGAGGTCCATTGAATTTTCAGTCGTAATACGCCGAGAGCTTCAAAATGATCGGGTACACGGAGGGAAATTTTTAATAAAAATTATCCTACCGTTCTATAAAAGTGTATCATGAGTCATCGTTGCCTCATTTCTATCCCGAAATTTAGTTGGATGTGATGTTCAATTTCCGCGACGGATTGGGAATTCTAGATCTCATTGACATATCAGTGATAATCTAACATGGAAAACCCAATTCAGTAGCGAAGCGGTAAACCGAGTCAAGTCGATTTTGACTTTTGGTCAGTTTTCGATGAATATCTCAGAATCTAAAAGAGATAGCAAAATTTTCCTCATAACCATTTTTATAGCCCTCAATTGATCCTATAAAAAAGGTCATGACAACAATTTTTCTATCTCTTTTAGATTCCGAGATATTCATAAAAAACTGGCCAATGGTCAAAATCGACTTAACCCGGTTTATCGCTTCGCTAGTGAATTATCCTGAATTTCCAAGCTGAATGAGAGATTCCACGAACGATTTGATCTTAAACTGAATTCAAATTTTAAACATTGAGAATTCAAACGCAACTATTGCTCAATTTTAAAAAAATTTCCAACAGTGGATACTCAAACCCACCCCTACTATTTTCTGCGAGCATGTTCCAGCGCTTCAGCTTGCCACCATACTGCTGTCAATGTTGGGAATGTGAATTGGAAACCATTTCACAATTGAGGTTTCGATTTTTAACACTTCACCGCAACACAAATGTCCCCGGTTTGAATAGACTTTTGATTTGACATTGCAATCCAATGAAAAAGAATTGAATCACATCGTTGTCCAAATGGAATGCCCATCGCCAATAGTATTCGATTCAAAATCAATGATCTCAATTTACCGATGCATTTGACCGTACGAAATTCATGTAACATAGCTTATCAACAAACGAAAGAGCTTTCATAAACACGTGTGGGGGGTTGAGGAAATTGAAAAATTCAGTGTGGCATTTGCGTTTATTCGCGTTTGCCTCGTTTCAGAATGCAAATGAAGTATCGTTCAAAGGCAGCGAGGAATGCCATGCACGAAATTCCAAAGCTTTCATAGTTAATCGGCGGCGTGTACTACAGGATTCCGAATACCACGCGGTCGAAGTTCAAATAGTTCATTCTCCCGTGAATTAAATGCTCACGTATCAGAAAAATGCCTGCTCCCGCCAATTTGTGGCGTCTCAGAAATCCTGCAAAGATACTTTGAATTGAATCCCACGATATGCATACCTAATTGCCATGCTTTTCGCCTTCAAATGATGCCACCTCTGATTCATTTCATCCAGTCTACGTTGCAGCATAACAGCGTCATCCTGACTAGCTAATGAACCCAGGAGTTTACGTCCTGTTCCATTTAGTGAAGTGTAAACATCTCTATGTGTCTCGATTTCAGACTGCAGGTCCTGCAACAAGAATTACAACATGACATCACCATTTTGCATAATCATATTTCACATTTGTGAATAGTAAATTCTCATTCGCAACTGAACAACTAGAGTCCACAAATGGACGTTGGCAAAACATTTCGCCAATGTCGTTATTCATATTTACTGACTACGACGTACATCGGTGAAACTGTGACAGATTGATCAGTGATATTATGCAACATCTATTTCTGGGGGTGGGGAGAAAAATCAAAGCACTCGATGCTTTTCGATGCGACACGGTTGTCAGACAGAATCGATACTCCACTGATGCGACAGCGTCAATTTTCCTTTTTTTCCAGCTTCCGCACTCTGCGGTTGGGTGATAAAACTGCAAAGACCGAGGGGAAGAAGAGGTGGATAACCCAATGAATTATTCACCCAAATCTAAACCTCCCGGTGCATAACCACCGTAACATACATGTCTACCAGCTTTCGTATATTCCACGAGTTATTGGATTCTTCGGAAAAACTGGGAATGCGTTTATTTTACCTGTTCGAAGTGGAAGAGATCAGCGATCAGTGTCTAGGATATGTCGATGTAGCTTGTTGAGATTGATAAGAACATTCTATTATGATCAATTGGAAGGTTTTAATGGAGATTAATAAGATGCTGTTGACTTCAAATTAGAATCAATGAGAAGAAGAATGGTTAAGGTCAACAAATGAAATTGAATTGAGGGTAATTGAATTAAAGAGGCTATAGTGGCAAATTTGATCAGAGATGAACTTGTGATAATTTGACCCGTATTTGACCCATCAATGATATCCGAAATGGAGTTATAATCAACTGATTAATTTCAACGAAAAGGTTTCTATTAAGATTGATCAAGACTCCTTAAATTAAATCAATGAAAAGCTTTCAATTCAAGCAGCTGGAGAGTTTTGAGAAAGATTAATAAAAATACTTTCTATTGATTAAGAACTTTGCATTGAGATCAATAGAAAACTTTCAATTAAGATGAAGGCAAAAGTTTCAGTTGAGGACGATAAAATCCCTTTTTAGGAATGAATCTGGCAAATTACACTTCTTCGGAGTAAAATTTGCACAACATACAGGAAATTTAGCCCCCGAACAAAATAATCTAATTACACTGTTGGAAATTTGAAGAAGAGGTGGATAATCCAATAAGCTGTTCACTTAAATCTAAACCTCCCGGTTTATAACCACCGTAACATACATGTTTACCAGCTTTCGGATATTCCACGAGTTATTGGATTTGTCGGAAAAGTAGGGGATACTCTTGTGTCACCTGTTCGAAGTGGAAGAGATCAGCGAGCAGTGTCTAGGATATGTAGATGTAGCTCAATATTTGAGTGAACAGCTTTTAATTGAGATTGACAAGAAGCTTTCCATTACGATCAATTGAAAGGTTCTAATGGAGATTGATAAGACGCTCTTGATCAAGTTATAAGTATCTTTCGATTATTACCAACGAAAGACTTCAAATTAGGATCAATGAGAAGCTATGGGTCAAGATGAACAAAGAGATTGAATTGACGATAATTGAATTAAAGAAGCTAATGGCAAATTTTATTCAGTAGTGAATCTGTGACCATTTGACTCGTCAGTAATACCCGAGATGAAGTTATAATCAACTGATTAATTTTAACCAAAAGGTTTTCATTAAGATCGATGAAAACTCCTTAAATTCAATCAAAGAATATGAATGAATCAATGAATAAAACTATTAAAAAAACTTTCTATTAAGATTGATTAAAAGCTTCGCATCAACATCAATAGAAATCTTTCAATTACGATGAAGGCAAAACTTTCAGTAGAGGCAGATAAAAACCCTTTTTAAAAATGAATCTGCCCAACATAAAGGAAATTCAGCCCCCGAACAAAATAATTTAAGCACCCTGTTGGAAATTTGACGAAGAAGTGAGTAATCCAATGAATTATTCAGCCAAATCTAAATCTCCCGGTGGTGCATATCCACCGTAACATGCATGACTACCAGCTTGCGTATATCCCATGAGTTATTGGATTTTTCGGAAAAAAACTGGGGATACTCTTATTTTACCTGTTCGAAGTAGAAGAGATCAGTGAGCAGTGTGTAGGATATGTAGATGTAGCGTGCATCCTCAAAATACGCTGGTCGATAGAGTCGGAGGGTGGCACGACCTCGGGGCCAAGTGCCCCCCCTTGTCTGACCACCGCGATAATCCACCTTAATTATCTCATCCGATGCTTCATCATTATCCTCGTATCACCACTGATCAGGGTCGTATGCGCGGATACTATCTCTTCCGTTTGCGCATTTTTCAACACTTGTTGACATTGGTCGGGATATTAAACGGATATTAAACATTGTTGTCGGGAATACTGAATCCTTCACTTGGGTGAGTTTCTGGTCAAGATTGATTGGGGCAATTAGCAAATGCACGGTTTCATCTTGAAATGACCAGTCAGTTGGGCTCAACCAATCTACGTAGCTATGGGAAATTGAACGAGATGGAAGGTATAATCAGCTGATTCGGGGGAAATTCGTGGGCACTACTTTGGTGTGTTGGGTCATCGAATTTTCGGCTCAGGGGAAAAGTCTTGCGTTTGGATTTGAGTGATAGGGGGGTTGGGGTAAAGTGGACTATGCTCAATTGGTGATATTTCTGATAAAATGGGACAACTTAGATGAGTGAGGTCTTGTTTCAAAGCTTGGATATTATTCTTCATTCAATTGGGGGATGGGTATTTTAAATCGAAGATGATTCTTTTGTATCAGGCCGGGTTGTAGCAAGCCCTCCTAAGTGTAATATAAAGGTCAGGCACTAAGGGTCAGAATATAAGGGTCAAAAAGTGGAGGTTAAAAAATGAGGGTCAGAATATTAGGGTGAAAATATTAGGGTCAGAATATAAAAGTAAAAAAAGTGGGTGTCAGGCAATGAGGGTCTAAATATAAGTCATATATTATGCTTGATCATCGTTTTTAGCCCTTATATGACCCTTAAAGCGTGAAGAAATACTTTTCAAAATGAAGTAATAATTTTCAAAATGAAAAAAGTTGGGGAATTTCACTGTCATTCCTCACTTTTCCCCACCGATAAAACCGTTTGGATCGTGATGTTAGTCTTCATTGAGATGTGGCTTAACCCCTCAGTAGGCGCGCTCTTTTTAGTATCTCACTCGCACTGCCAAGACGTCCTATAGGTTGACTAGCGTTACGTGAGAGAAATGCTCATAGTGCGCCTACTGACGGGTTAATTATGAGTTCATGTACTTGTGGGTGTACTTCGGAATTATTCCAGCAGGAATTACCAAACTGCCGTGATGATAGCACCATCGATAATGCTCGATTTGCTTGATCAACGTTGCGTGCTTGTAATGAGGCAAATGGAATGGCTGGCGGTGGTTAACGAGAAAGGAATGATCAATTCAATGATCTATTGCAGGCTGGGGGTATGAATGACTCATGACGGGCGATTCGTCATTATCATTGATTATTACCAGGGCTAGTTGGGATGAATGGGTCATCGTGGACAAAATACGGAGGAGAATTAGGGAATGCGACTGCCTCGCTGCGAGAGGTCTAGGGAGGGAAGATGAGAGGCTGAAAATTGTTCTGTGATTGAGAACAATACTGACAATTTTAGGGAAAAATTTTCTGAATAGCAATAATTTTCGTTCTACACAGTTAGAAGATTACCCTTGAAACTTCAAGCGGAAAATCTTGAAATTTTCAACGACTCATTCACGTGAAATTTCCATGCATTTTGTTACTGAAAAATCAGTTAATTTCTAATCAGTAAATCGCATTCAGTATCAATGTCCTGAAAATTCAAGAATATGTTTACTAGAATTTCCTGGTTTTCTATTCATTTTCAGGGAACAATGGAACTGAACTTTACAGTTCTCTCTGATTTTTCCACGAAATTCAAAATTTTCAGGGACTCAGTAATTAAATTTGATAAAAAATTCCGCAAAGTTTACAGGAAATTTCAGGCCAAAATTTTTAACAATGCAAATGAAATCTCAAACGTTCGACTATAAAAGTGGAAAAGCATTTCACTGGAGAAAAAACAGCTAAACTACTTGGATATCCTTAATGTTGAATTGAACCTCAACTTCCTAAACAAGAGAATTCGAATGCATCTGTTACTTAATTTTCAAAAGATTTCAGTGAGCACAACCATTCCCCATTCAATCCTGAAAGATGCACAGAGAAAACCAATTTCTGCTTTCCGGAATGAACACCAAACCTGCGCAACCCATTCTCCCCATTATTTCCATTGACCAATAAAAAATCGTCTCAAAAAAACAGAAACCTCCTCTGATATCCCGGACTATTTGCTTCCCATTTCAATCTCAGCGAGTTGTGAAATTCAGATATTCCAACTGGAAACTAAAAGCTCCTTCCCCCGCATGTCCGAGCCCACTCTAATGAATTCCCAGGATGCGGAACGTCATTATAATACCCCTTTGTTAACCCGTGAAAATCCGGCAAAATGTCGAAAACTCCTCAAGAACTTGGGGAAACTTTCTGGAGTATTGGCTGCGAGGAGCGATAAAAAAACGTCGGAGAGTGGAAATTACGGGAGTTTCGGGTCCTCGTAGAAAGGCTACTTGAGGAGGGTCCAGGCCTCCGCGGTACGTCCATACGAGGAATTCGTGGAATGCTGTTGAGGCAATAAAGCCCAGGTGGAAGGCAACGCAGTGGCTCAAAGTTTTCGGCCGTGTCTCTCCACGTGAACGACCACGTTATCCAGTGTGTCGACTTCCAACATTGGGAGTTTGGAGGGGCTGTGGGTGGTATTCATCGGATCTGAGGTGAGTAAAAGCCCAGAGTGAGAGACCATTGGTGAGTCAGCCAAGCGTCACCAAGTCGAAGACATGAATATTTATCACGAGTCGGTACGTACTTCTCAGTGGCACGACTGGTTATACACAGTGTAACCGAAGCCCACAGTGTTGTACACCCCCTTGGTTTCCAACCTCTCCAGTGTCCTCTCAGTCCCTCGGAAGCCTTTCTCTCTCGTTG